AGATAATAAAAAGTTTTCTTAAGAAGACTCCTTGCTTCTACCAATATAAACCAGAATTTAAGTTGCATCACATGCCCATTTAACTGAGAGGGGGAGAGCGAGAACAAATTTAAATAATGCATGTATTCCTCTTCGTGAATGCATGAGATGGGAGCCATGAGTTTACTGTTCCCACAGGTGCCAGCCTTTGAAAGTGTAGACAATGATCTACCTGATTGTGGTAGACCAAACTCAATATTTGCCTTGTATGTTGGCTAACTCCTTAATAGTAAGACTCCATTTGTGTGGTTTAGAATGGAGAAACACAAGGAATTTGGCACCCAAATATTCAGGTGCCTTCAACATACAAAAATCCCTTTACGTCCATGCTTTAAAAGAACTTAAAGTCATTTGATAATCAAGACAATACTTCCAGCTTGGTGTTTAATACTTTTACTTCCCAGCAGCATAATACCACTTTGGTCAAGTTGAACCACTGCACAATTTTGCAGCTCTTTCAGAAAAAGATCGAAAACAATTGGAAAGACTGGATCACATGCAATGGTGAGAAAATAGTACTACTGCCCAATCTTTCCCCATAAATGTAAAATATCCTTGGTTCATCTACACACTGTGTATTCTGAGCCCTTACAGCAAGGGATTTTGTTTCTTTTAATTTTTTTGTTTGTTTTTGTAGCACCAAATAGACACAGTGCCAAACAGCAAATACTGAAAAGTCATTGAAATATTTCACACGTCAGAAATGTACTTTTATCCATGTCTCTCACTTAATCTTAAGAGTAAGCTATAATGTAAGTCTGCATTCTTACTGTTTTTGCCACTGAGGCAGTTTACTGACTGTTAATCCTTTACTATTATCTTTTTGTATATTACTTTATAATTTCAAAGTAATTTATACACAGGGACTCATTTATGTTAATGTAATGATCTCCCCCAAGCCACAGATAATGATTAGACACATGAGCTCTTGTCTTACACTGCATAGGTTCAAATCCTAGTTCCATCTGCTAGCTGTGTGACCTTGAACAAGTCACATATCTGTGCTTCAGTTTTTTCTATAAAATGGAACCTACTAAATAGAGTTGAAGGGTCAATGAGACAGTTTATGAAAGTACTGAGCACAGTAGAACCCAGTAAGAACTAGATGTTAGTTACATGTAAGTTACTTCACCGGGGTATAACTATTGTGAGTGGATAAATTGAACAGCATCCTTAAGTGCTATGTTTAGAAAAGCAAACTGACATAAATATATTCAGGGAATCTTTTATGACTTCCATGGGGTTAGGGATTTTTTTTCCTCTATCAGCTGTGAAAAGGCACCTGACGGACAGGAAACTCTAGTTATTGCTAGAGTTGAGGAGTTCCTCGCAGTAAGCTCCACGAGGGCGCTATGTCTGTCTTGTTTGCCATTGTACTTCCAGAACTTAGCACACACTAAGTACAAAATAAGTATTTGTGGAATGAATAAACACATGGAAAAAGTCTTAATAGCCTAGTGATTAATCTCAAGCTCAGGTACATTCTAGGAATCAAATATGAGAGCGATTGTGAAAGCAAGAGAGTATTTAGAGATGGTAACTCCAATTACTATGAACTTTGTTAAAGTTATTATCGAAGGGGATATTAATATTCTTGATGATGTGGCTTTTCTTATATTTTAAAAACAAAAACATATCTTATAAAGTTTAATGAAGTTGCATGTTTGGATTATCCTTGCCAAATAACTCAAGAAGTTTTCATAAAGAACTAGAAAGGTTGAGTGTTATTCATTGTAAAAACTCTGAATCCCCAAACATTATTCTTTATCTAAATGTGCTTAAACCCTTGAAGTGTTTGAAGTAATTGATTCCAAATTCATACATCTAGAAAGTATTTATGAAGAGTCAGTGCTAGTTCTCATTAAGAAACTCAGAAATTATAGTGCCAATCAGTATAAAGAGGTAAAAATTTTCAAATTATCTAAAGGTGAAATTCATTTATTCTTTCTGTCCACCTATTCTGTCATTCATTTTGTTCATTCATTCGACAAAAATTAATTGACCTCCTACATTGTGCCAGGCATTATATCAGGTGCCAGGGATATAGCAGTGCAAAAGACAGTCACAGCCCTTTCTCATGGAGCTTGTGATCTAGAGAGGGTCAAGATGGATAGGACTATCCCAAGTTTGTGGAGATATTTCCTCATGTTGGCCTCCTTGAATCTTTAGGGCATTGATTTCTACTTCACAACACTGTCTAAAGCTGGTCTAACAGACTGTGTCTGTATGGTAAACACAAACTAGCTAGATGAGAAATTCAGTCATCCTTCACATATCCTCAAATACTGACAGCTGTTTAAAATAATGTTGACAAAATGTTCCAGCGTCTTGGAGTCCTATAGGCATAGCTGAGTAAAATAACCCCAAATCAGAACAGTTTGCTTTGTTTTAGCTAAAAACTGCATTTGTAAATTGGTGCAACTCATCTTTAGGCAAGTTCTTTAGTGACAGCCTTGAATTCTTAATGCCCCTTAAAAAGAGTGGCAGTTCGTATAACTAGAGAATTCCCTGTTGATTACATGACAGAGGAAGAGCAAAAGTCTGTTATTCTTTCCAAAGTCAACTGTAATTTAAGCTCATTATCTCCCCGAGGATGTTTCATTTCAAAGACAACAGAATCAAAATGTAAATGACCCAATGAAAAGGTTCGTGTATTCTTTTACTGAACTATATACTCCATATATTTACCTTCAAAATCATAGTAGGAAAGAATTTAGAAAAATCTGGCCACCAACCAACCTGGTCAAGTCAGTGAAAGAACTAAAATTCACCAGGATCACTGATGAATAGTCACAAGAGATTTTCCCCATAACTTTTAATATCTAAGTTGTTTATGTGAAGATTGAGCTTCATATAAGAGCAACATAATGTCTTTATTTTAACATGGTTTTGGACATGTCAGTAGCTCTAATATGGTCATTAATAATAAAGGGCATTAAGACAAGTTGTAATTTTTTTC